CCCCCCCCCAACCCCTGGAGACCCCCCCGAGCCCCGGAGCCCCCCCTGGGTGCGTTTTTGGGCCCCCCCAGGAGCCGAAATGCGGGTGGACGTGGGGGAGGTGCTGAACCAGCGCCGCTTCTGCAACAAGGTCTGGAACGGGACCCGCTTCGTCCTGGGGGCCCTGGGGGAGGAATTCCGGCCCCCCCACCCTGAGCAGGTAATGGGGGGAGGGGGCAGGGGACCCTCAGGCACTGCCTGGAACTCAACAGGACCCCCCAGAATTCACAGGGACCCCCAGAACCCACAGGGACACCCTCCAAAACCTACAGGGACCCCCTAGGGACCCCCCAGAGTCCTCTGGGACCCTTAGAGCCTGCAGGGACTCCCAGAACCTACAGGGACCCCCAGGGACCCCCCAGAACCTACAGGGACCCCCAAAACCAACAGGGACCCTCCCCAGAACCTACAGGGACCACCAAGGATCCTCCAGAATCCCCCAGTCCCATTCCCGGTGGTCCCATGGATCTCTGGGTCCTTTCTGACCCCCCCAATCCCATTCCAGGTTGTTCCCAGTGACCCCATGGAGCGCTGGGTGCTGTCCCGCCTGGCCGGGGCCGTGTCCGAGTGCAGCCGCCGCCTGGAATCCCTGGAATTGCACCTGGCCCTGGGGGCCGTGCAGCACTTCTGGCTCCGCAGCTTCTGCGACGTCTTCCTGGTGAGTGGGTCCCAAAATCCTCCTTTCCCGGGGGGTCCCAAAATCCCCCTTTCCCAGGGGGTCCCCATTTCAGGGGTCTCTGTGCCCCCCCCTCACCTCTCCCTGTCCCTGTTTTTCCCAGGAGAGCTCCAAGGTGTCCCTGAGGACCCCGGGGGGTGCCGGGGGGTGCCCGGGGGGGGGTCCCCGGGGGGTGCTGCTGGTCTGTGCCGAGCTGGGGCTGCGGCTCCTGAGCCCCTTCGCCCCCTTCGTGGCCGAGGAGCTTTGGCAGCGCCTGCCCCGACCCCCCCCCGCGCCCCCCACCCTCTGCACGGCCCCTTTCCCCGACCCCCAGAAAACGGTGGGTCTGGGGGGGCATTTGGGGGGGTTTGATCTCGGGGATGGGTCTGGGGGGTCACTGGGGGGGTTCTGGGGGGATTTGATCTCAGGGATGGGGATGGGGGGTCCCTGGTGGGTCTGGGGTAGTTGGAGGGGGTTGATCTCAGGGATAGGTCGGGGGGGAAACTCTGGGGGGGGGGGTTTGGGGGGGTTTGATCGCAGAGATGGGTCTGGGTGGGGGTCCCTGGTGGGGTTCAGGGGGTTTTTGACTTTGGGGATGGGTCTGGGGGGCTCCCTGAGGGTGTCCTGCCCCCCTGACCCCCCTTTTTCCCCCCCCCAGGCCCACTGGCGCTGCCCTGAGGCTGAGGCTCAGGTGTTGGCCATGCTGGACGTGGTGCGGGCGCTCCGGGGGCTCCACGAGACCTTCCGGCTCAGGGGGACCCGACCCCAGGGTGAGCGGGGCGGGGGGGGCAAAATGGCGGCCAGGGTGGGAGGGGACTACAAGTCCCAGAGTGCCTTGGGGGAAGTCAATATGGCTGCTGTGGGGAACTACAAGTCCCAGCATGCCCTGGTGGTTCCAATATGGCTGCCAGGAGGGGACTACGAGTCCCATCATGCTTTGGGGGTCAGCCAAGATGGCTGCCAGAGCATGGGGGACTACAAGTCCCATGATGCTTTGGGCCAACCCAAGATGGGCACCATGAGGGGAACCACAACTCCCATCATGCACCTGCTCACCCGCTAAGATGGCGACCGCCGCGTTTCCCCCTCACGGGGGCAGCCATCTTGTCTGCCGGCCATCTTGGTGGGCATGTCCAACCCCTTTTCCCTCCCCCCCAGTGCTGGTGAGCTGCCCGGATCAGACCCGCCATTGGCTGCAGGAGCTCAGCCCCACCCTCCGCGCCCTGTCGGGGGCGGGGTCCATTCAGCTCCTCCCCCCGGGGGCGGAGCCAGGCCCGGGCTGGGCGGCGGCTCCCGCGGGGGAACAAACCTGGGCCTACCTGGACCTGCAGGTGAGGGCGGGGCCGGGGGGCGGGGCCAAAGGGGATTCTGGGAAATCCCTTGGAATTCTCCCCCCCCCCCTCCCGGGCTCTGAGGAGTTTTGGGACCCCCCCGGATGGGGGGGTCCCAAAACCCCTCAGAACCCGGGGGGGGGGACACGGGAGGTCCCAAATTCCCCCCACTTTTCCCAAATTCCCCCCATTTTTCCCCATTTTCCCCCATTTTTCCCAGGGCCTTTCCGACCCCGCCCAGACCCGGGACCAGCTCCGGGCTCGGACTTTGAGGGTCCGGCGGCGCCTCCAGACCCTCGGGGGGTCCCCGGGGGGGTCCCAGCAGCACCAGGTGCTCATTAGCGCTAATTAAGGGTTAATTAGTGGGCTGTGAGGCGCTAATTAAGCTCCTCTCACGGGAAGGGGGGAGGGTCCTTGACCTCCTTAATGGGGCGACCTAATTAGCGGTGCCCTAATTAATTGCCTCTTAACTCACAATTAACGCTTTATTAACTCCTTGTTAGTTCTTCTTTGGCTCCTAATTAACCCTAATTAAATCCTACTTAGCTCTAAATTGCTGCCTCGTTAATTTCTAACTAACTCCTTATCCACTCCTTTTTAACTAATTTTTAACTCTTAATTAACACTTCATTAACTCTCAATTAACACCTTATTAACTTTTTATTGATGCTTAATTAGCTCCTTTTAAACTCCTAATTTGTAATGAACTGTTTTTTATCTCTTAATTAAGTCCTTATTAATCTCGAATTAACTCTTAATTGGCATTTTATTTATTCCAGTTGACTAAGTCCTTATTAACTCCTTATTGACAGTTAATTAAGCCCTAATTAGCTGCTAAATAACTCACCTCCTGATGAACTCCTTACTAACTTCTAATTAAGTTTTAATTAACTCCATATTACCTTTGAGTTAACTCGTGAACTCCTAATTAACCGCTGGTTAGCTGATGAGTGCATTGTTGCCCCCTAATTAGCGCTAATTAGTACTAATTGCCCCCAGGTGTCGCTGCTGGAGGCGGAGCTTTCCCGGCTGGAACGAGCCCTGGCGGCTCTGGAGCCCCTTGGGGACCCCCCCGGGCCAATAAACCCCCCTAATTAACCCCCCTGGCCTCGTTAGTGCTCATTAAGCGCCGTGAGGGGGCGTGGCTTGGGGAGGAGGGGGTGTGGCTTGTGGTGAAGGGCGGGGCTTGCGATGGGGCGGGGCTTGGTGGGACCCCAAAGCGCAAGAACCCCCCCCAAAAAACCCCTTAATTGCACCCCAAACTTCGTTAGTCCTAATTAAGGAGGTGCCCTTTATTACAGGGGGCGGGGCTTGGGAAGGGGGGCGGGGCTTGGGGAAGGGGCGGGGTTTGTTTTGCAGGCCACGCCCCCTCCCAATTGGGTCGCCAGAGAGCGACGGGAGCGGCTGGGACCCCAAAATTGGGCTGGGAGACCCCAAAATTGGGCTGAGAGACCCCAGAATTGGGGTCTGGGAACCCAAAATTTGGGCTGAGAGACCCCAAAAATCGGTCTCTGGAACCCCCAGCTTTGGCTGAGGGACCCCAAATCGGGCTCAGAGACCCCAAAATCAGGTTCTGAGACCCCAAACTTGGGCTCAGAGACCCCAAAGTCGGGCTCTGAGACCCCAAAGTCGGGCTGGGGCCCCCCCCGTCCCCCCTGTCCCCACCATGTGGTGACACCGGAATTGGGACCCCCCTGGAACCGAGACCCCCCCGGACTCCCCCGGGTGTCACCGACCTGCTGTCACCTGCAGCCACCTCAGGTACCGGCACCCCCCGTCTGTGTCACCCCCTTGTCCCCCCCTTGTCCCCCCTGTGTCTCCCTGTCCCCTGTGTCCCCCCATGTCCCCCCAATGTCCCCCCAATGTCCCCAAGTGTTCCCCCAATGTCCCCTTGTCCCTCCTGTGGTTCCCGGTGTCCCCCCTTTGTGTCCCCCCTGTGTCCCCCTGTCCCCAATGTCCCTGAGTGTCCCCCCCTTGTCCCCCCCATCCCCCAAAGTCCCCCCTGTCCCCTCACGTCCCCCATGTCCCCCCCATGTCCCCCCGTCCCCTCCTATCCCCTCATGTCCCCCATGTCCCCTCATCCCCTCCTGTCCCCCCCAATGACCCCCCTCTGTCCCCCCCAGGTCCCTCCCATGGCCCAGGGCGGCCCCTCCCCCGCGGTCCCTCCATGTCCCCTCCCTGGGGAGGTGACAGGGGGAGACCCCCCCGGGGACCCCCCGCCCCACTGGGGGGGTGACGGTGACGGTGACAGGGGGGTCACCGTGGTCACCAACAGCCCCTGGGCCGGCGGAGTCACCATCACCGTCACCGCCGCCGACGGAGGGGACACGGAGGACATTGGGGACATCCAGGACACTGGGGACATGGAGGACACTGGGGACATCCAGGACCTTGGGGACATGGAGGACACTGGGGACATGGAGGACATTGGGGACATCCAGGACATTGGGGACATGGAGGA